GGGCCGGTGGGGGCCGCTAAGGATGCAGTTCCTCCTGTTTTTTTACAATGCAAAATGGCCCCGTGCTGGTGCGACGACATGGAGGGGCAGCTTGGCTTGGGCCAACACTCGAAAATGAGGTTTGACCCGAGCCTTAGCTCGATTCGCAAGCCAAGCTGCCCCGAACTTTTTCCGGGCCAAGATGCGTGGCTCTACAGGGGACCAGCCAAATTGAAGTCCTTAATTTTCCCTATTATTTTATTATAGAATAGAATTGGATAAATGATTGATTAGGTGACATATTTAAATACACAGATTACATAGGAAGTTAAAGCAAAGCACCATCCGTTCAATCCAATCTTTCTTTATCTTTATTCTCGTCTTTCTTTACCATAATCACGTTTCATTCATCACCAAAGGTTCTTCCTTTCGATTATTATTTTTTGCATACGATATTTTTCTTGATATCTTGTTTATTTTCTTGCTGTTAATTCAAGATCCTGACTTTATTATTATCATAAGTTCCTTAAGTTTTACATTTGGTTGCTTTTACTTACTAAGTTTCTGATGGGATTTTTGTGAAAAGGAAATTAAATTCTGGGATGGTTTTGTTTTGTCAGTTTTGTTTTTGGTTATACCCAACATTTTTTTCTTACTTTTTCGTGGAATTCTTGGTAATCCAGAAATTTTAGACTGGTATAATTTTATTTGAGGGATTTTTTTTAGGAAATCCTGTTTTCATTGTTCGGTTTAAAGAATTTCTTATAGAATTTAGACTAACTGTTTTTTTTCTATGAAATTTCTTATTGGTTTCAGTTGCAGTTAAATCAGTTTGAAGAATTTGACTTTATTTCTGAGCAGTGATCTGGTGGAATGGCGAAGAGTTTATTCAAGCAAGAACACGATCTTGGTTTGTACTTGTATATGATAGATTGTATTACTAGTTTCTACTTCTTTCTTATCTGGCAGAAAGTAAGTCTTTTCTTAAATGAATAATTTCTGAATATAATGGCGTATGTATTCAGAAAAGAGGCGTGCTGAGGCTGCTAGAATTAGGGAGAAATATTCAGATAGGATTCCGGTGAGAACAGAGCTTTCCCACCTCGTTGATTTCAATTGCATATTTGATGAAACATTTTGGATGATTGATTTTATGCTACATTTTTCTTAATATTGTGCCGTTTGAATTATTTTTATCTGCACTTTACAAAATCTTCCGGTTAAGGGGTTTTGATATCAATACTGTGAAATTCTAATTCATTAGGGACCTATGATGCAGTATGTTTTCAACTGAATTGTCCTCAATCAATGCACGGGCACACCATAAATAACCACCGAACAACCATTTCCTGTTGGACAGTTCTCCTTCTAATTTCAAACACCAGCTTTCATCTATGTATTTCATAGATCAATTTGTCTTTATTTATCAGATAAAACTGAAGATAAATTCACAGAAAGGGTCTCCTTTTGAAGAAAGGAAAGACAAAATAAATGTTCTCTTTTTCAATAATTTTTTTTATCAATCTATTCAGGCCATTGATAGTTGTTAGATGATTCCACTGAAAAGTGCACTTGATTTTCATTTTTTATTATCATTGTTTTTGGTTGAAGATCATCTCATTGTGTTTCAAAACATGGACTGTTTAACCAACCAAAGCATAGTGAATCAGTAATGGAAATCATTTTATGATTTCAATCATGTGTTAGAAAATTTAACGGCAAATCAAACTATTAATTATGTTGAAGCATGTTATTAAATTGGATAAGATGTGTTTTGCCTTCCCTTCACACCTATGGCCTCCTAGGAGTGTAACTTGTAATGACCTTCTTTATCTGTGTTCTAGGTATTCTAGTTTGTGTTGTTGTCATAAAAATGCTTGAAAAAAATGTTAAAAGCTGACTTGCTTATATTTTTACAGTTGACTTTGAATGTTGTTATCTAGTCGAATCATAGCTGAGTTTGAGTTCTCGGCCAGATTGATTGATATGCCTGGTACACAAATTACAACCTTAAAAATATCTGCAAATGTGGCATGTTCAACTTTCATTTTGATTTGGACGAGCTTAAGATGAACTGAGCCCAATCAACATTTACAGAATCTTAAAATTAAAGTGTCTGTTTCGGCCCATTTGTGGATTGTGGTAACGTTGCTTCCTATTCCAATTTTCTTTTACCCTTTGAAAGGTGATTGTTTCTTTCTTTGGCTTCTTATTTGGTGGGATGAGGATTGTTCTTAACTTGTTCTCTAGTGCAGTGCTCTCTTGTGAATGCTACGTATTTTCTAAGGTTGGCTTGTGATTCCTGTCCGAAAAGCAATATGATAATAACACTCTTCACTTCAGCAATGTGAAACACAAACTTTCATGATTACATTGGTTCATGAACCAACTTACTGGAATAAAGGCTGATGAACTTTGGGATAGTTAATTGTTTAAAGGGTCACTTCGAAATTAGAGATGCTTTGGCAGTGCTCTTATTAACATTAAGTACAGCCTCCATCCTATTGGTATTAGTGCATTTCCAATTTGGAACATCTCATAAGATATTTCATTTCAAATAAAGAACACGGTAACAAGTGGAGGTGACACCAAGGGGAGGACAACTTAGGTGGTCATTTCATGTCGTGTGTAAACCGCAAATCTCTTGTTCATAAGAACGATTTGGTCCCAATAGATTAGGTTAGAAGGAGAGGCAAACCAAAATTATTATGGCATGATATGGTTGCAAAAGATATGATTTCGTTGGATTTCTCGGTAGATTTAGTGTTGGATCGAATGAAGTAGCAAAAAAAAGATTCATGCAGTAGACTTCAAATTCATTGGAATAAGACTCAGTTTGTTGACTACTGACAAATAAAGGAAAAGAAAAAAAATCAACAACAATGATTTTTCCAATATTTTTCGTAGCATACTTTTCATTAATCCATACCAAAAGATATAATTTTAACAAATACATTTCTTATTTTTTATGTTTTTGAATTCAACAAAAAGATAATTAGGAATCCAAATTTCAGATGTCGCTGTTAAGAAAATAAAATTCATACGTATTTGTCGTGACTCATGAAGCTATACACAGGAATTGGGTTTTTGAAAATCTATCTCAAATTATAGACACATGGGCATGTGGAAGATCTATAGTTCTGATCGTCCTGTCACCACTGAAGTATATTTAAGCTGAAAATACTATAATCAAAGATTTTCGATGTGTTTCTTAACAATTCCTCTTCCTTGCAATAGTTCATCTTTGTGATTTTTTTTATCTGTACTATGTTTTCGCACACTCCATATGTGCTCAATCTTTAATTATTATGTTGATTAATGTCATCTAAAATGGTCTATAGCTAGCAATTAACTTTCAATTTGTTCATCACCTTATCTGATTTTTACATAAACTAATGACTGTTAAACTTGTGTATTTGACATGTAGGTGATTGTGGAGAAGGCAGAGAGAAGTGATATTCCTAATATTGACAAGAAAAAGTAAGCCTCTACTTTGTTCAATTTCCTCGATATAGCATTTTTATTGGATTCTAATGGTGGAAACCACGCTTTACTGCTGCTGGTCGAATTTGATCCATGTATAAACATATAATTATTTAGGTTAAAGGGAAGACGTTATTTATCTAGAGAAAAAAGATTTTAGTAAACTAGAAGCTAGTGCTTTGTTGGAACTATTACAATAGAATTGTTGCAGTCAGATTTTTTATGGTAAAGATCCTAGTTTAAAGTAGGTAAACTGAAGGTACTGGATTTTCAACTCAAGTTGGAAAACTGAGTGCACAGAATTTTCAACTAATTGTATTAGATTTGTCTAGGTAAGGACGATTTAAAGTTGCGTTGATCAAGTTATCCAATCAATATGATAGTAGTTTTCCAGTCCTCTTAGCTGATATAGACATACTGAGTTCCGTATACCGTGGTAATCTTGCATGCACATTTCAAAATTCACACTAATAATTGGATGTGAGCATCGTCATTCTTGGAAACTTGTTTTGTAAAATCCAGGTAATTGACATGCTATAGCTTGGGAAAGTGGTCAAATCCAGGTAATCCATGACAAAGATGAAACAAGTTTACCTGAAGGTTGCACTTCTCGTCCGATCAGGAAAAAGTTTTGAAGATTGGACTAGCTAAGAGAAAAATTAGAAAAAACTTGTATGAAAATTATTCCATAATGGCACGTAATACGCAGCAAATATCCGTCCCACTATGCTGTAGATATCAAATACTAGAATATTTGATTTTAGACCCTGCTAATTCTTGATCCTTAATTTGTGAAAGATACTAGTATTTTATGGATTCTAAACTATGTTAATTAACTCTCAATAGATGTTGCAAGTTGAACTAATAAAAGAATAATGCTATCTAGGACTAGCACTAGTGGCGTGGCCACACTTGATAGGTTTAATTAAATAAAACGTGTGATCTTGTATTTAAGTAAATCTATCATTTAATGTCATGCAGTCGTCATCTAGACTAGTATTTAACACTAGTGGTGTTGAATAACATTACTCATTATAAAAATATGATCTTTTCCCTCCATTTTTATTGTTCATTGTACATTATTCTCTGTTCGTTTCATTTTTCTTTTCTTAATTGTGCCTCTTTCTCTTATTTAGTATTATTTTTTTTCTGTTTTAGTGGTGGTGGTGGAGAGTGGGGGTAGGTCGATTAAGTGAACAACAAGAAGTCAGAGGGCCCAAGGCTGTATTTGCTATAGTTACAACGAAATCTTGTGAAAAATTATGCACATTTTGTGGTTAAGTTGACAAACTTAGAGGGCATAATGCCTTTGAGAATCACGAGTCTGCAGTTGTTTGATTTTGGTTTTTCCGTTCTTTATTCGTGAAATCATAAGCTAAAAAACAAGGATTGTCCCCCCAACTCCTGACACGTAGAAATAGGGCTGCATCGTTAAGACATCTCTCCAAGGCCCCAGCTCATTATACTACATTTAATATATTAAAAGTTGTAAAAAAAAAAAAAGTTAGGATTCATTTAGCACAAATGTTTTAAGTAGAACTTTTAGCATTGGAGCCTTCATTAAAAAGTTGTGAACTGTTTGGTTGTGAATCCAAAAGTGCTGTGAATATTAAATTGACTGTTTGACCAAATAACTATAAAACTGCGTTTATATAAACTTTATATTTATTTGATTGGGTTAAAAGTTAGAAAGTTATTTTGGAATATATCAAGAGTATTTGGTTAATTTTAAAGTTTCATTAAATGTAATTAAAGCTTCCCGTAAAAGCTCAATTAGAGCTTTTTTTAGAGGCTCAAAACTTGGGCATCTCTAAAACAACTTTTGAAGCTATTTTTTTGGTCAAAACTCACCTTTTGACTTTAACCAAACGACCAATATTTTATACAAAAGAGTTTTTGACCTCCAGAAAGTGCTCTTACTCTTAGTTACCTTATTGAGATAATTACAGGTATCTCGTCCCAGCTGACTTGACTGTAGGACAATTTGTCTACGTGATTCGCAAGAGGATCAAACTGAGTGCTGAGAAAGCAATTTTCATATTCGTTGACAATGTCCTCCCTCCAACAGGTGAGCTTTAAATGCCATACATTATTAGCTGTAGGGTCGTGTTACTCGAGTAATTTGGACCAAGTGCATTTGAAGCTTCTGGATTATGTTCACAAGTTCATTGTTTCGGGCTGTTTTCCCTTTCTAGGTGCCATTATGTCTGCCATATATGATGAGAAAAAGGATGAAGATGGTTTCCTTTATGTAACGTACAGTGGAGAGAACACATTTGGGAACCATTTCATGCTGTAACCTTCAAAACTCGGCCTTCACTTGGTATATACGGTGTGACAATAGTTGCTGCCATCACATTGCGTTGATAATATTTATTCCCGTGCCTTTCATAAAGATATTACATCTAAAATTATATATAGCATATACGTGTATAGTTTCAGTGTTTTCTGAGATACCTATAAATGTCACAATCTCATGGCATGTGATTACTATTATCATTTGGATTCAACCTTGTTTTCGAATGTGCTTTTCATTCTCTAATATCAAGCGGGATAATAATGTTGATGCTTATATAGTAGGTAGTTAAAAAGTTTTTGCCTTCATGACGAATTTAGATTACGATAGTCCATTTTCTCGGTGGCCTTCATACATCTGTATTAGAAGTTTTGCATGATATAGTTGAAGACAATGAGAGGCGAAATAACATTTATATATCTTCTTATTTAAATTTTGTATGATTTTCCTTCACGTTCTTAATTAGTGATTATGGTGCTTCATTGTGATGAGATTGATGTGAAGATAAAATAGATGTCAGCTATGAGTAGAATAATTTTAAGTCTCCAGGATATTGAATTGCTATCTTAAAATCTTTTAAATACCAAGTCTAGGGGTGTCAAAAGAGCTGGCTGGGCAAGTCTCCATGGCATTGAAGTGCTAGTTTAACAATAGGGATGTCAAAAGGGCTGTGGGGATACAGGCCACTGCACCTTGGAGGCAAGTTCGCCCGGCCTGGCCCTCTGCGTCATCTTAATGGGCGGCTTTTGACACTCCCATCTGTTTTAATGAGCCCATGTTTGAGCTACATTTTCATTATTCTTCTCATTTTCAATCACATTCTTCAATAAAATAATATTTTCCATCATATGAATAACTTTTCCTTCTTTTTCAACCATATATTCACCATCACATCACAAAAAAATGCACTCTCCTAAAAAATGTGCATCAAACACACTCTGAGTTTGATTAGGCCTCGGTCATGAATGAAGGTTTGCTGATCCCTGAAGTAAAAGTTTTGATGCTGTGATCATATAATCTTCTATTAAAAACATAACTACAGAGAGACATGAATTGCCAAATGTGTTTTGAATCAATTCATCCAATAAAACAGGTGATTTGCTTAGAATTATCACAAGTTAAATGGTGATGACTGATGAGAGAGGGGCTTTGGCCAAGGCTGTCACATAAATATTGATATTTTTGGGAGGGCATTTATGATATCTAACATTTTTTATTTTTCCAATCTCTTTTAACGTTTATTAAAGCTGATCTAGATGTTAAGGGATTCGATGGTTGAATGACTTGTATCAACTAGTAGTAAACACGTGCATTGCATGCAGGGGCGGAGCCAGACTTTGAATGTAGGGGGGGCCTAGAGGTAGAGGTGAAGTGGTGGGGGCTCACGGGGGTTCGAGGGCAGTGCCCCATAAAATTTTTTTTGGATACATTATTAACAAAAAAATCAAGAAACGTATAAAAGAAAGTACTAATCTTTAATTTAGCAAAATCATACTTTGATAACGTTATATAACTACATTATAATCGGGCGAAACTCGGGCGAAAAGTTACTGCATTGGTCGCTCGAGCGAGGGTTGAGCAGTCGTCAATTTTTTCATCATAACTTTCTTTACCGATATCCGATTGTGATGATTCAAATTCCGTTGGAAAGTTAACTCGAAGGGATACAATTCTTTTAGAAATAGCCATATCCAAATTCCAATGTTTTCGATGTGAAAAATGAGTTGAAAGTGGTAATTACAAAAAAAAAAAAAAAAATTTAAAAATTTTAAAAAAAAATTTGGTCAAAAATGGGAGGGGGGGCCAGGCACCCCCAGACCCCCCTTGGCTCTGCCCCTGATTGCACGTCTTATGCATTGAATGAATGATATGAGTAATGTTTTTGAATTATTAATACCGTTTTTGAAAATTGCTGAGGCAATTGATATTGTTAAAAGAAAAAATCAAAATTGTTATATAATACTATTTATTGAAAAAGAAAAAGAAAAAAATTGATAGCCATCATGCATAGGAACATCTTTGATTAACTTTTATGCCGATAGATTTCTTTGAGAAATTATTTTAAGAAAATATCTTTTAAGCAAAGTAATATTTATAATTTAATTCATTATGGACACAAAAAAGATCTAATAAATTATTATTATTATTATTATTATTATTATTATTAACTACAATTATAAACGGAATGTGAATATGAATGGGCTAAGACAAAAAGATGGAGAGAATTGATTCATCTTCATATTCTCATTTATTGCACTACTTAGGAAATAAATATTAAAATTCAATAAGGGTATATTAGACATATGGCTAAATATATAAGGATAAAATTGGTATTCAAAAGTTTTTCCTCAATCTCTCATTTTTATATGTTGTATATGGTATTCAAAAGATTTGATGTGTTTCCTAAGGTGAATTCAATGCTATTAGATAATTTTAAACAAAAAAATTAAGTTAAATCTTTCTAATAATGAACGCGCCCTTTATGTAAATGTTTTAAGTTTTTAAATGAGGTGGTTAATTATCACGATATTATAATATACGAAAAACTTCTATTCATATTTTGTTATTTTTTTATTTATGAAATGTGCAATTGTCAACTTTTAATCAATACATATTTCCGATTTATACATGAGAAAATATGTTGAAGATAACATTTCTAAGAGTATGAACTCGAACGAGCGTGATTATTGTTGCTACCAAGACTTTAATAATTTAGGATAGTTCGGCTCCAATATATCTATAGTTAAGTATCATGTTTATTCGATCAATGTGACAATTCTTGAAAGCCTAAGCTATTGTTATAAAAACAAGCTCCCAATTTTTTACCAATGTTTTAAAAATTGATTAGGCCATCGATCCGAAAAAGAGAAGAGGTTCAGGGTCAAAAGGTTGAACTAGGGTCGAACAGGGGATTAAACCAGTGATTTTTCAAAAATTTAAAAATATATATTTACCTATGTTGAATCAGCTAAATCAGGAATGTGTCACGAAATTTTCAGAAACTAGCTGGTTTTACGGGGCTTTAATTAGAGATTTTAAAAACTTAATCGGTCCGGTTCGGGTCTCGATTTTTCTAATTGAACCGACAGAAAAGGTCAGATTTTTAAAACATTGTTTTTTTACATAAAAGTAAGGAGCTAATAATGTGAAGAGGGGAACTCTAGAAGATTTTGAAAAAGAAAAGACTTGGAATTTTCCACTCTTTGAATTTCATACTCGGCCACAGCAACCAAGTTTTACCAGAATTGAATCATTATTCACACCTATGTTGTCATCGACGTTAGGTTGTAATCGTTGAAGAAAGATCTAAATAAATACGCGTGACTTCTCTTCAATAAATTAAATTATTAAATGAAATAATTGAGTTTGAATCAAGCAAGGCAAAAGACATCGGAATATCGCAACTTATTTATGAAAGTTATATATGCATGTATCAAGCATTTCAAATAAAAATAAGAATAATGCTCATTGTACAATGTTGGATTACAATATCTCAAAAGGGAGATGTGACCCACTATTATTTTAATAGCGGGACCCACCTCCCTTGTGAGATGTTGTAACCCAATGTTGTAACACATGTGTTGTACATATAGTATGATTGAATAAATAAATCAGTTTATACATGAAGAGTCGTGTTAAAATTTAAAGAAATACATAGATCGCCATGATGTTTTGGAGTTTGGGGTTTAGGGTTTAAAATATGCATTCAGAATATATGATAAATAATGGACTTAAATCATTTCTAATGAGAACATATAAATATGTATTAATTTGCAAAGATCATCATATAACAATGTCGTAAAATATAATGATATATCTATCTATTACAGGATTATACGTTGTTTATTATTGTGTGTGTTATATTATAGTATGTAATTCTTTCTATGATTTGCTGTTGTGTGGTAATAAACCCTCCTTTGTTGGTCTAGGTTTGACATTTTAGCTTCTGTTTGAGTTATATTAAAATTTTCATTCTCATTCTTCTACTCATTTTCAATCACACATTTTTCAATAAAATAATATTTTTCATCACATCAATAACTTTTTTTCTTTTTCAACCACACATTTTCTATCAATTTACTATTTCAAAATATATTCTTTCAAAATAATGGGGCTCAAACACACCATAAGCCACTGTTTGCTTCAATTAAAAAATTAATTTTTTAAGTTAAAGTCAATAATTAATTTTATTGTACATTTCATGATATCCAAAGCTTTTGGATTATATATTCTATAAATTTTTAGTAAAATTTACTAAAAATATAAATTTTATATAAATTAAATAGGGGTTTAAATGGCCCTTGATATGGGAGAAGTCGTTCCATTCAATTTTCCAATGTGCCGGTGCCGTCGAATTTGTAATAAAGTTTTGGAGTACCGTTCGGACAATGGGCTGGCTGCCCCCACATCATTCGCTGCTGTGTCGCTTTGCAGCAAACAAGGGCAAAATTGCTTCAGCCGAGGTGGCAAGATGCATTACTGCCACCGCAGTCCTCAACTTTCTCGAAATGTGCAGCTTGGCTCTCAATCATATGAAATTGACAATTTTGGTCCCTAAATTTCAAATGCTAATAACTTTTGATCTACAATTCTGAATTGCGATCCGTTTCCTGTGTTGAACTCTAATTTTAAATATCTTTTAAATGATATATCATTTTCCAAATAAAGATCTTCGTACCAAAATTTGTGAACTAATTCACTCGCATGCTTTGCATATAAGTTCCTCATTTTGGATTTTTTTGATCATTTTTGTCCAAAGTTCCTTCATTTTGCACCAATCATCTTAAAATTTGGGGTTTACAATATAAACACTATATACATAACAATACGACCAGAAATTTGTCAAAATAATTAAATATTAAGTAGATTTAAGAGTCTGGACAAACGTATAAAACACACTAATCACCATCTCCAATGCCAATGTTGTCATAAAAGTTAAAATAGACAATTGCTTACAAAAGGTCCCCTCGCAACATGTCTAAAACTACGTTTAACTAACCTAACAAGGAAAAAGTAAACATTATTAAGATAACCATCTATATATATATGTTGATGTTTTTCTGGACGAAATGAGTAATCATATATATATTTCTCTTTCTTTCTGCTTCCTGTTTCTTTTTTTTTTCTCTTTCGTATTGAATATGCAACATAGATGAAATTTGAACTAGACTATCTGTTCATTAGACATTAATGACACGTAGATCAGAAATCTTTCTATTTTAGATGTTATTTAAATTACAATTCATGAAATACATTGAAGACCCTCTTAGAAATTAATTAACATTGTCCTAAGTAAAATAATAATTGAATTTATCTAGTTTTCTCTCCCTCGTGGTGCAAATTTTCAAATAGAGGATTTTTTTTCAATGCCCATAATTCGGGTTATATTACTTTTTTTCTCATGTCCCCAATTACTTTGAAAAGAAGTTACCATTACTTTTAGGCCAACAGATACTCAGCCTGAGCACCCTGTTTTCCTAACTAAATTACTCTTATTACTAAACTCTAAGTCAACATTTTACATAAGCAATTAGAAATCCCCTTTTTCTGTTTTACTAAAAGAGAAAAGAAAAAGAAAATCTAGAAAAAGTAACATACTAGATTTTTCTAAAACAAAGAAAATTCCCCATTTTACGTAATAAATTTTCCAAGTACGGAATGTTCCAAACGTGTCTTGGAGTGCAAACCACGCGTATGCCTCTTGAATGTTTTGCAATCAAGAAAAAATGTTGGAATTTAACAATTCTACTAGAATAAAATGTTGGAATTTCAAATAAATTTAAAGATTTGTTCGGTGAAGTTTTTATAAAAATTTTAGGAAATTTCGATAAAAGTAAATTTAATTTGTGATTGTGAGTAATGTGTGGTCAAAATTGTAATTTGATCAATTGAAAAATTAATAACGATAATAAAAAATGATTATGAGTGATCATGAACCAACAAAATAGTACATAACACGTGACAATGAATATCACGATATCAGATTAAGCCCTCGTTTGATGAGAATTAAAATCAGATTTTTAGTGGATTTTGATAAAAGTTGATAAAATGTGTGGTTGAAAAATTGCGAGTTACATTTTAAAATTAATTATTAATTTTGACTTAAATTATAATTTAGATTTTAATTTCTACCAAACAGTTGCTATATATAACAACTCTTTGAATTTAATTCATTTAACTCAAGGTTAGATCATTTATTTTTTGTCTATATCAATAAAATGCTTTACCTAAGTGGTGATTTGATTAAAATAAAAAGATTTACACATCTATAATTTCATCTTTAAATTATGAATAACTTTTTAGCCAAAATTTGAGTTATTTCTTCCAAAAACTTTCTTCGTAGAATATCAACCTTTGTCCAAGTCTTGGTATAACGTTGACCATTGAAAAATAACAACAAAAATCAGCTTCACCCCTCTTCCACGCACATGTGTAACCTATAAAACTTACTCTCCCTTCCTTCCAATACACCAACACACACAACACAAAAATACACACAAACACACGCACATACATACCATGGCCATGCATAAGAGCACATCCTCTTCATCCCTCGGCCCCGGCGGCCTCGACTTGAGCCCAGCCTTCTTCAAGCCAATCACCAATGCCGCGCCTCCGTCTTCCACCAAACGCCACACTAAAATCTCAGTGGTCGGGGTGGGGAACGTCGGAATGGCCATAGCCCAGACTATACTCACTCAAGACCTCACTGATGAGCTCGCCCTGGTCGATGCCATACCCGAAAAGCTCCGCGGTGAAATGCTCGACCTCCAGCACGCCGCTGCCTTCCTCCCACGCACAAAAATTCAAGCTTCCCTCGACTACTCCATAACTTCCGGATCCGACCTCTGCATCATCACAGCCGGTATCCGGCAGAATCCAGGGGAGACCAGGCTGAATCTTCTTGAGAGAAACTTGGCTTTGTATAGAAATATTGTGCCTCCGTTGGCTAAATACTCTCCCGACTGTATACTCTTGGTTGTTTCGAATCCAGTCGATCTACTGACGTATGTTGCATGGAAGCTTTCTGGGTTTCCGGTTAACCGGGTCATCGGGTCGGGCACCAATTTGGACTCTTCAAGGTTTCGGTTTTTGATAGCGGATCATCTTGATGTCAATGCACAGGACGTGCAGGTCAGTTGTTCTTTTCTTTACGTTTCTGCGTTAGAATAGTCCATGCTGTTAGTTTTTCTACATATTGTTTTATGGGTTCAAAATTATGTATCATGCCCAAACTTCAATAAGTGGCTTTTTCGTTGACCCCTTTTAGAAATTGAAACTCTTAAGAGGATTTTAGAAATTTTAGAAAATGTTTGGACACTCAAGTAAAAGTTTCTTATGCATTCCAAAAAAACAAAAGGTTTTTATTTTATTTTAATTTTTACCTTTTAATAAAATTTTAAAACCCTTTTTTCATCAATCACTATATATGTGGCATGTAGTCTTAATAAAGAAAAAAAGGGGGAGCTCAACTTAACGTCCAATTAAATGAAGTTTCACAAAAATTAAGTGGATTATTCACTTTAATCATTGTGTACACTGTTTTCTGATTAGGCTTACATTGTTGGAGAGCATGGGGACAGTTCAGTGGCACTATGGTCAAGCATAAGTGTAGGAGGAGTTCCAGTCCTTAGCTTCTTAGAAAGACAGCAAATTGCCTATGAAAAGGAAACTTTAGAAAAAATTCACAAAGAAGTTGTACAAAGTGCATATGAAGTTATAAACCTCAAAGGTTACACATCATGGGCCATTGGGTATTCTGTGGCTAGCCTGGCTAGGACCATACTCAGGGATCAGAGAAGGGTTCACCCCGTCTCAGTTCTTGCAAAGGGATTTTACGGAATCGATGATGGTGAAGTTTTTCTCAGCTTGCCGGCGCAGCTTGGTCGGAGCGGTGTCTTGGGAATCACCAATGTGCACCTTACCAATGAGGAGGCAGAGCGGCTTAGGGACTCGGCTAAGACTATTTTGGAAGTGCAAGGCCAGTTGAAAATTTGAAGACAGTATATATGCATGCACGGATGCATTCAAGCATGTTATTGCTTTTTTAGTTAAACCATTCTAGGTTACATGTTTTATTAATAGCAGAAATAAAATAAGATACAGATTTAGGATGGGACTCACTCTTTCCCTCTAGTTAAAGGTATAATAATAGTAAACTTACTTTGTTTGAAGATTTGTATATTTTGGACTTGACGAATTTAACGTTTTACCTTATTTTTACTTTGCAATGAAAGTTGTGGGAAGGGATGAGGGAAGTTTGCTAGTCACCTTCCTTCACCATTCTTCCTGTGCAAAACGTATGATTTGACTTGACAGTCTTCGACAAGTTGAACAATTGAGCTTTCCGAAGTGGCTTCGTATTTGAGATAAAATGAATTTTTACGCTATCTTTGGCTAGTCATGATATTCAAAAGAGATCCATTTATGAGTTCCGTCTTTCTATAATCCATTCTCTCCTCATCTACCGAGGATATGATGTTCCGAGGACCTTCTCATATGGCGGTGTTCCCATGTGAAGTTGTCGGTCATAGCAGGTGCCTCTTATGAACTTGTTTAATGAACTCATCTTCATAATGTAAAAGTTTGTAGTCCTCGTAAGTTAGGACATTACGCAAGGCCAAAAAATTAATATGTATCACCACTCATGTTTAGCATCCATCTAGACGATAATGGCTCCGAACGCATCATTTTTTAGAGGTGATACATATAACACTATTAATTTGATCAGAGGAGGCTTGAGAGCGCGCGAGTTGAGTGACCACATAGGACCTCATTGTTGTAGGGGCACCAAAAAAATTTTGTTATTTGTGTATATATATGTATAATTATATATTTAAAATATTTATTAATTTAGAAATTATAAATTTTAAAATTTAAAATTTTAATTATTATGTTGAGTTCAATGGCATAATGTTTATGAAAAAAATGATTTAAAAGATAGACAAATGACGATTTTTATTTAATATTGTTGTATTTCTTATTCCTAATTATATATCATACCAAGATATTTTTATTAAATCAAGGGAAATGATTCAGATGGTTTAGCCTAGTTTATAGCTAATTTTAGTGTGTTGTGCTTAACTATTTTCATTTATGAATTATCTTTTTATTAATTGTATGTATTTGATTTTGTATGATATGCAGTTGCATAAGATACTAAAGATAAGAATAATGTAATCAACTAGTTATAATTTTCTTAAATAGTATCCTGTTTTAAATAATGACAAGGAAAAGGGAAAAGGGGAAAAATATAATTCGAATGAAGAAACATTTTGCTGAAAATACCATTGTAGAGGACGCACAATCGCTTGAAGATTCTTTCATAATCAATTATTTCATTCATATAGTGGATCAAACAATTGGATCACTTGAACGAATGTTCGATCAATTCAATTCATATGAAAAAAATTTGAATTTCTATTTTCTTTTGACAAGTTAAATGCATTGGATGATACTGATTTGAAAGCATGTTGTCATAATCTTGACATTGTTTTAAGACATGTAATTTTTTGTGATCTTGATAGCAAAAATTTGCTTCAAGAGTTAAAAATTTTGCGAAATCTTTTACCAAAAGAAATAAAAACAGTTTTTAATATATTAACTTATTTGAAATACAAAAATAAACAAAGATAGCTTTTGATATATTGACTTATTTGAAAAGATTGGATCACTTTTCGAATACATTTATTGCTTATAGAGTATTACTGACAATTAATGTTATTGTTGCATCCGTTGAAATTTATTTTTTCAAAATTGAAGTTATTAAAATCTTATTTACAATTAACCATGTTATAAGAACGATTGAATGACCTAGTTTTGATATATATTGAACAAGATTTGTTAGAAACAAAATTTAATTAATTAGTTTGCTTCTATAAATGCGAGAATAAATATTTTTACATGATTTGTTGTATTTCAAAATTTTCACGTGGTATTTCATGTTTCTGATTTCAAGGTTTTCTCATATAAAATTGCACAAAAAGTTTAGGAGCTTGGATGATTCTTTATTGATGACATGGATTTTGATGAAATTTGGCAGGTGCTTTTGAACTTTATTCGTACTTTTTTTAATTTACAAAATTTTAAAAAATAAACAATATTTAAATATCATAATTTGGCGATGATATAATATTATTGAAATATATATATATTTTCATTTCATGAAATGGGTACCCTTTTAAAATGTCGCAAGTATCCAAAAATTTAGGGCCAGTCTTGAATTTGATATAGGTAAAGCTAGGTTATGACGTTCTCAAGATGGTTGAATTTGTAGCTTTGATTAGGCCTAAGACACAGGAAATATGCACAACCAAAAGTTTCAAGACTTCGAAGGTGGAAAAGAGATTTCATGTTGAGTATTGGAGTAGACATCCGATTTATGAGGTAAAAATTCAAGAACGACATGGATTTTTTTTGGATAGCTTTGCTAAAAGATTATAAATTGTTCCTCTGAAAGGAATCTCACAAGTACTTTAGAGTTTAGATGTACTTTTGGCTTGGACCAGAAGGATAGTTGATTGAACAAATTGTTACGCCTCGTCCAGCGAAACTTAAGCCGAAGCCACGTGGCAAGAGAAAACTTAAGTGGTCGAATCCTCTATCGTCTGAATCGACGTGTGGGGCCGAGCCCATTGGTTGCTGTCGACCCCCTTTTTGTCGAAGTGGATTGGCATAGGCGTCTCAAAAAAGATCTCTGTGTAAGACCTTGTGACAAAAGGGGTGATGTGACAATTCACCGACAAGGTTGCTCCACTCAACTAACAAGTCAAAGTATATTCTTACATGGTAGACCTAAAGCCGCACAACTCCCGTTACATCCCATGCGGCATGGCCTAGGAATGATTGATTGATATCAATGACAAACCTAGTTGCGTGGACGGGGCCACGTGCACCTTCATCCAACGGTTCACACCCATCACCTTCTACTATAAATGCTCCTAGTCAGCTCCATTGAAATGTAATGTTAACTTTGATACAAGAATATCTACATATATTATTTTGTATTGCATCTCCAATTTCGAGACCAATCCTTTCTGTGATATATTTGTGCCCTGAGCATGTCCCACGTTCGATTATATACATTCAATCATATTGACTTGATTGTCGGAGTGTCTGCCGTTGCCTCCCCCACCACCGGAGATTGGTCTTACGCTATAACAGTTTGTCTAAATGTGCGGACAAAAGATCGTTTAGGCATAGTTGGAGTTGTGATCTGTTGGTCACGTTATTTCTACAAAAAGTGGGGTACAAATTAAAATCCAAATATAAATTTTATGGGTCTCAACCAATTATCCAAATTTTAATTTAAGTCAAAGTTATCAACCAATTTTAATCACATATTTTATGGGTCTCACATCTTTTCAACAACACATTTCATCAACTTCTATAAATATCTACTAAAAATCTGATTTTAACCCCACCAAATGGGGCTAATATTAGCAAAGAGGTCGAAAGATGCAAATGATGTGCATAATTCTATTGGTATTGCAATGGGGATAACGATAGCAGTAGCTCTCAAGAAGATTGACAGGTTCTTCGGCATTTCTTTTTGGATCTATAATTGCTGCCAATAATGTTTTTCGGTCTATTACACTAATGGAAGTGAAAAAATAATCAGTAGGAAAATTGAGTGATTCCTTTATTCCTTTATTCTAATGGAAGTGAAAAAACAATCGAGGTGAAATTGACAGGTGGTCCGTGCCAAGACCGTCATGTAACTAGCTTGCCCCGGCATCGTCTCTTGCACCGATATCCTCGTCGTGGCAGCTCGAAACCTAGTTTTAATGATGGGCGACACTTATTACATCGTAAAATTAAGCCTGAAGGATTCTTTAACATCAACAACTTCTTCAATCAACGCAGTCTGTCGAAATCCACAATGCCGATGAATCAAATCATTCAAATTTTCGAATCCAAGGGTTTTCCGTTCAAGAAATGGTGGCAATCTCAGGCGCCCACACAATCAGATTTCAAATTCTTGTTAAAACTCAAGTCTTGTACTATGAATTTTCTTTGAACCATTTTGGGGGTAGGCGTTGAAATGAAAATTTTGGTGCCAAAGAAGTTAGTGGAGAGTAAAGTGTTTGTTGATGATAAAGCCATTAGAGATTCTGCAATTCAATTTCAGATCTTTTTGTGCTTGATTTTTTCCAATATCTTGAAGATTATAGGGATTGGGACAGTTTGGGAAAGAAATGAAAAATTTGTTAGTTGAATGATCGTGTGATGAATTTATGGGAGAGATGGAAATTTGTTTAATTGTTTACTATACGTCGTGGTGGTGTTGGTGAAGGAGAAAGAAAATAATATTTTTTTTTTAGTTTCTAGTTTTTTTGATAATTTATTTGAAATTCGTTTATATTTTTCTTTAAAAAAAATTGGGAGTATGGTTGCAATTAGTTCTTTACTTTAATTTTATTTTATTTAAATATGAGGGATATTCGTCATTTCATATTTTTTATTAAAAAATTGGATGAAAATGATAATTTTCGCAATAAAATATTGAAATAAGGGTGAAAATGAAAAAAAAAAAAAAAAATACAATGTTGAAACGTTTTGCATAATAAACTCCCTACATAAAAACATTTTATGCTAATAACCCTTTACACAAATATGTTTCAAAATTCCAATTGAACTCTTAAAGGCGCATATATAGGCAAAAAATAACAAGTCAAAATAAGGTAACTTATTTATTGGACTGTGGATTACTCAAATCCACATCACACTTGCTTATTGGACAAGTGGGTCTGGTGAGAACAATCATGCTACATGTACATATTCATTCACACAATCTTTTACACCCCTCTCACATGGAAGGGATTCCACACAAAATAAAATATTCGCGCACACTATTCATGTGAGACAAGTGTACGTACACCTGGTGTACAAATAATTTTATCCTTGGTGAGAATTGTGCTAGTTTGGAAGGATTGTGAACTTACATTAAATTCAATGGAGATTATCTACTTATTACTTTTTCTTTTTGTCTTATCTTT